GTCGCGATTTCGGCGGAGAGAGCGAAACGCTGAAGCATGCATGAACGATGTTACGAATCGATTATCGATTTCGGCTACGGCAGTAACGCAGAACACTACTCAACGCGGACGATGTTGCGAATTGATTATTGATTTCGATGGCGTAGCGGAACATCACGCCGGGTAGCGCGGAGCACGAACAGCGTTACGGATCGGTTATTGATTTTGATCGTAGTCGCATGATTCGCTCTAAAACGCGCGAGCATGCCGACTAATTGCTTCTCTCTCCCTCTCTCATACATATACGTATACATATACATATACACGTGCGCGCACAAGGCCGCTGATAAAGCGACGCGAAATATAATTACTCAGCTTAACGTGTTGTAAGTGCGGATGATGGAACCGAATTAATTTGAAATCGTTTCTCTCGTTTCGCCGCGATTAATATTGTGCTTTTGCGCGCATTATATTTGCTTGCGACCGCTTTGTGCCGCGCGGTCCATTATTCGTCATAATTAATATCCATTTTTCCTCGACGCGATTATTAAAAACAAGCGTTCCACTGATTGCGCTCCGGAATCACCGTATCAAATTCTGATATTACGCGATAATCATTTTTACATCGGTACCCTAGGATCGATATAACTCAACGTTCGCAAAATATGTATTCAGATATTCGAGCCGAGCGATGTATCATTTTTTTTCAGACACATCTTGTTATCGGGATGACGATTTAAATTTCCATCTTATATAACAGATACGCATTTCGTACAGATACACAACTTCCCGGTAACGAAGTCGGTATATCGCCGTAATAACGTAGTAGTTTCATTTTATAGTTAATCGCTCTTTATCGAGCCAGTCGGCCGCAGTTTCCGCGTAAATTATCGCTGTCATAAATTTATCGCCGATCGGTAATTATCGGGCCGAGCCATCCGTCGCGGAACGGCGGGCGCGAATTACGAGCCAATTCCACAATTGGCGTTTCGCTCTATATCTCTATCGCGGGGGGAGGAAAGGGGGAGCGGGTTATTGTTACCGGCAGGCGACTCTCTCTCTCTCTCTCTCTCTCGACGATTTACTGCAGCACAGTGACCTTCGTTTGAGCCCGCGCACGCGACGATTAACAATTTCGGGCGTTTCGCGAATTTCCTATTACGGCGCGTCACGCTTATCCGCCACGCGGATAATACGCAATTGCGGTAAATGCGAGTTCGTCGATAATGGCGAGTGCGCGAAGAGGATTGAATCGCGCGGAACATATAGCTGCATTGTTAACGCGAATTATAATTGCAGCGAGTCTCGTCGCGAGTTGCATTTTCAATGTGTCCTCTTTCTCTTTCGACGTATCCTCTTGTGCGTTTAATAGCGCAAATGCGGGCTATGAGAGGCGCGTTAAAACTTTGATAATAATTAATGTTTGCGATCGAATGTTTGGAATGTTACGTTACGCGAGATTAACGCGATACGTTATATAGGTTTGTTTTGTGAACGCTCTCGATATGTGTTTATCAAGTTTACTGATTTTTATTAATCGATCAAATAACAACAATTTTTACATATTAATGTAAAAAGAATAGCTTTTTACTCCATATACATACATACATACATACAAGAATTTATTGGCATTTGCAGAGTAACGAATGGACGCGACAAATGCGGTAAATAACGATTGCATTTGTCATTTTCACGATCAATGTCGAAATTGATATATATCTGCGCGTGTCTAAACGAGTGGACACAATTAAGCGTGCGTGCAGGTTGCCGCGGGCGATTGCATTTCGCATCACGCGAAAGGTAAAACGAATGCTCATAGATTATAGATAACAACAGTCCAGGCGCCAACATCATTTTCAGCTTTGAAAAGTATAATCGCGTTGTGGGAACTTCCTGACCGTTTTCAACCATTTTTGTGCCTTATCAGCTGCAAATATATAACTACTCATTTCTTTTCATGCATCGAAGAAAGACCAATTATTTCTCGGCCACGAGTTCAAAATAAATGTGACTTTTTCATTTAGTCGCTAATAATCTACTGCGCGCATTTCTTTATATTAAACAAGAGATATTATATAAAATAATATATTAAATGTATTAAATAAGTTTGATTAATTTGATAAATCGAATCAATATTTGTTTATCTCGCATCTCATTTTTAGAGAAATGAATATCGGTGCTCTGAAGAAAATGATTGATTTACGTAGTAAAAATAGCGGTTGGTTCTCGCGGCATCGACAATCCAAGTCTCCCCTCGTAATTACGCATTTGTCTTTGGACGCGATGTTAGACCCTCGCTGATGATATTTCAGGTATAACGCGCAAGCACGCGCCTCTTTAGCTGGTGGCAATTGCCGCGTCTCTGTAAACGAGTCTACTTATCTCGGGGCTGATTTACCACCCTCGCAGCACGTCGCCGCAACGCTGCTTTTTGTTGGCGGGATGAGCAATGGCTCGAAACGGACGGGAACAGCTTGTTAATTAACTCAATTAAATTGTCAGATATTATTTTCATTCCGCCATCTATCCGCGTCCCCTCGTGATCCTACTTCCGTAATGGGAGGCTGCACGGGTTGTTATCCTCGAGCGTGTCGTAAATTCAAATAATCCGGAGCGTGTACGAGAGAGACAATTAGAAAGAGCGGTCCTTCACGCGATGACAGACACTTGTCGCTGTTTCCGAAACGAATATTTTCAAAGAACTTTGGCGCGCACCAGATGGTCTCCTCGAAAACAAGAATAATTACGTGATTTCGCGGTGGCGGTCGGCGGAAAGCTCCGCCGGAAAAAGGGCGTAGGAGAGGAAGAAGAGCCGACACCGAAGCGGCGCGGCGCGGTTACGTGCTTTACGAGGACAAGCGGCTTAACCGACCCAGCCAGCGGACATTATTCATCCGGCGTAACATGGTGTCTCTCTTCTCCGTTACCGGCGTTCCGACGCACTTCGCGCTGCGGAAGTCTCTCTCTGCCCTTATTTATGGTATCGCCGGTAGCGACTGTACATTCAGATTCGGTCGCCTCGCCGCGAAATACGGAAAATGACCTTTGCCAGGGCGCGTAGAAGCGTTACCGCATTATTTACGAGATGGAGACCACGTTAGCGGGATGGCACCGAAATCTGCCGCAACCCTCGTAACTCTCGTTCGGAGTTTATTTCCTCGATATACAAGTTAGTTTCGAATTTCGGCACGCTTTGCGCGATAGTTGTACATGTCGGCGACGTGTTTCTCTCGCTAGAAAATGCTGTTGGTATATTATATTTCGCTCATTAAATTCAACATTTTCAAGTAGATTAACAATTTATTATTTATCAAAAAATTGTAATGCGCGCATTATTTAACTGTTTTTACTTTTATTAGCTTGGACAGGAATTATGAGATAACTTTTGGGTCAAGCGAAAATAAAGTTGTAATTCGCAAACTGCTCTTGTCTTACATACCTAGGGCAGACAGAGGGAAACCGGGTCTCTTCCGAGCAAATCGAATCCGGCGCAAATTAGCGGCAGAGTAGGTTTACGAGAATCCGTCTTGTTGTCACGAGAAATAATTGCCGTGAGCATTCTCGAGGTCGAAAGGGAGAGCCTCGCCTTTTCCCGCGGGGTTATAATACCGGAGACGAGGCGCCCGCGGTTATTAGTTTAGGAAGCTGCAAAGTACCCCGAAACAAAGTCTTTTCTCCTCGTCTCTCCACCGGGTAATCAATATACAGACAACGATCCTGCCTCATTTCATCTTGTCAGTTTAGCCCGAGCCATCGGCGAGAATCCTCGCTTACTTGTTTCGCTCGTTCCAGGCGTTTCCAGGGAATAGCCGGCAAAGAAAGAGAGAGAGAGAGAGAAGACGAGCGCTATCTTTTAGCTAATAAACCATCCCTTTCCTCCCGTCTTCCTTCTTGCGAAGGGGCGTTTCACCAAATTATAATACGCCTACCTCATGTTTCTCCCCCGAAATGCTCTTAGGCTCGATCGCTTTTCATCACGAAGCCGATTACGCGAATAGAGCATCCTCGGATATTTTTTTTGCCGACAATAACTTGGAATATCTCTTCACTGGATCCCTTTCATTTAATATAGTTACAACTGGATACCTGTGATTATTCGAGAACGTAATGCTTCAAGAGATGATATTGAAGACACAGTTTTTCAAATTAATTTCTTTAAAATATTGAGAAAGACACATAAACGCACAGTCTTATAAATTTATAGAGAGAAATAAACTTACTTGTGTTTTTGTATTTTCAAACAGAATATTTCAAGTACGTGCGACTTTTCTTGCATTGTTTTTTTGCGGAAATTAATAAGTGTGTTTATCGTAGCGTAGCATCTGATGCGTTTCAGACTTTCCGGTAATTTTTGCAGATGTCTGGTGAGCATCTGTCCCGATTAAGCAGTTGAACCCGCAATTTATTCCATCGGCAATGGTCGGATGCTCGCAATTTACGCTTTAAATTGAAATGTAGAATTATCTGGTGGTGCATTTTGATTTCCGACTTAAGAGTCCAGAGTGTGGAATAAAAGTGCGTAATTTGTGAAGTCTACTTTTTTTTTAAATCTCAAAGTACATGAAATCTTACGAATTATATCCCTTTTACGTCTATTATTACGCGAACCCTTCAATTTTATTCTTTTTATGTATTCTTGATTGTTTTGTCATCTTTCAATCACGCGTTTACGCGATGAGTCCAGTTAATTGCAGTCATAATAATATGATTTATATTTATAATCGTCAAATTATCATTTACGAAAGAAATGTCGACGAATATGCGTGTGTTTCAAAGCGCGATTTGCATTTGGCGCGAACCTTATTCGCGCGCGCATACATATTGTCGATAATAAATGGAAATGTAGTCGTTAGTGCCGCAAGAAAAAGGAACGATCAAGACGCTGTTCGCTAAGCTCGGCAAACATTGCGTAATTTCGCGTCGCGTACGCATCATATATTTTGTTTGCGCGCCGTTAAGTCGCGGCGAGAGAGGGAGGTATAGAGAGAGAATAATTTTCTGTTTTGTTTTCTCTATTTCAGTCCAAGCAGTACGGCGCTGGGTTCGCTGGACCAATTGAAGGAGTATTTAACGACAGTGGGAACCTGCAAATGCGGTCTCGAGTGCCCGCTCAGACCCGAGCAGGTCTTCAACTTCGATCCCAAGGTAAGTGAAAAATTGGACGAATTTTTATTAAAACTTTCGTTCTATTTATCCGAAAAAAAACGCTTTATATTTAATCAGCGTTAAACAAATCTAAGTATATTATATTATTATGACGTAGATTTACGTGCTAGTAGGAACAATTTTTACGATTTATCGTCTCGTTTTATCCAGATATAGATATTGCCGATGTTATTTTGCGAAGTAGAAATTTACAATATTTTCGTTTAAAAGATTAAAAAAATCGAGCAATATCGAGGCAATTCCGTTAATTAATGAAAACGTATTTAATCAGAGTCGTAGAGCGTAAATGTAAAAGTTGTTTAATCCTGAAAAAAATGTATTTTACATATTTATTCAATTTATATATGAAACGTACGAATACCATATATTTGTGAAGAGAAGAGGTGAGAGTGACGTTTCTCTACTTCCATCATAAGATACACGAAATGCGTGACTGTCGAGCGGTTAAAATCTCTTTCTCGATTTCACATCCCAATTACATTCTCGTTCCATGTTAAATGAGCCATGGTTGACGCGCGCGATCGTGCCCAGTCGCAATCAAAACGCGAAGAGAGAAATCTTTGGAGTTGACGCGAGCCAATATATAATCGGTCTGTCATACACGACGAGTCCAAACGATACACCAAACGCATCAAGTGGCCAGGTTGTTGCATATAATGCATATGCACATAAGCAGTGGCAGGGAAGTGATGCGCTTAATCGGAGGAACGCTCATTACGCTTTATCCGTTTGTATATCATTGAGAGAGAGTTATTCTCTTCGAAAGTTCGCGGAATACTTATGTCTGTGCATCTGTGAAAACGTGTGAGCGTCAATCACGCTTAATCGCTGGCGGCGATTAGGCGCCGTTTATTTATTTATCATACGCTCGTATAATTGGTTCGCGCTTTCTGTATATTCACTTCCGTGAAGCTCGTGACTTACCGGGAAATAAAATCTCGTCATTGTGCGTGCAGACAATGACATTTCTTTCCTCGCCAATTTTTTCATCTTCCCTCGAATCGGAATTAGTGTTTCTTTTTCTCGCGACGATTAAAATGAAAATTATTTTCCATGATCAAACGCGAAAGAACCGATTAAGTATTATAACTAAAGTGTGTCGATGCAAATCGGAGAAAAAGTTATGTGTTTAAAATTTGCACTTTCTTTAATGTATAAGCGAGCAGAAGAGTATTCATAAAATCTGAATAATATACCGATTAGTATCTCTTCACCACGTGGGAGATCGATTTTCACTAGAAGAGATGGCATCATTGTTAAGGTTTATAAGTATGTTCATATAATCGTCAAACGGCAAAGAAAAATTGAAAAAAAGTACTTTAACTATAAAATATTATCAGGTAGTTTTTGCCATCTTTTTCACAAGAGCTTGCTTGTAAAAAGCGTGCACTCATGTCGCTTCAGAAAAATAGAAGCGGTAGAAATGAGAAGATGTTGGATAGGACATTGACTGTGCTACTTTTCCGAACGAAGTTTTTAATAATTCCTCGATTACATTATATAATAAATATATGCGAGGTTTAAAATTATAATTACGGATATTAATAACAAAGCACAGGCTCTACATAATTCTTGATTGTCGTCTAAAGACGACACGATGCCTTATAGAAATCTAGGAAGAAATATTACAGTCGAGTATGTTAACAACGACACATTTTATCGAGCGCTATCATTTCCTGACGATCTAATGTTCCCTCTCGATTCGACTAAAGAGCCTCGTCCTTTCTTTCGTTTCGAATTCATAGAAACGACGATGAATCACGTCGCCGTGGAAATCGTATTCCGGAAAATCGTATACTATACTTCTCACGAAACATCGCCGCGAACAAAGGGTCGATCCGGCGCTATTTCTGCCGCGCAGCCGCCGTAAATACGTAATTTTTCTTACTTCCGCTATTTAGATATTTATGGTACACTCGCGAGAGAGGCACGACGGCACGTATCTCGGCTCGCGCCAACGATCTCGAAGAAATATCGCGATTGTGCGTGCCAACGATCGCGGCTTATTAAGAAATATCGTTCTCCGGGCATTTTGTTCCACCGAGAATGTATGCGTATTGCTCTAAAAAAAAAAAAAAAAAGAAAGAAAGAAAGGCAGTGTCGTGTTATTTACGATGGTAAAATCGATGATATCCTTGTACGAGATCTAAATTTCATCAACGGGGCAATCGATTATAATTGTAATTGCGCCTTCAATTCTGCGAAATTAATTCCCGAGTACTGGGTCTTTTTTGGACGAAGGAACGGGAGGAAATAAAAGGGCGTAATAGGCTTAATTTCGTGCCGGGCTTCCGCAGACATAAATTAAAGATTCAGGAAAATATCGGACGCGTCGATGGATAGCAGGAGGAGACGACGTTTCTGAAGAGCGAATGAGAGAGGACGCTCATCAGTTTTGCTTAATTATTCCGGTAGCATGCGACGATATACGAGGAAAACGTATAATTATCCGTGCACCTGCTTGCTAACCACTCACTCAGCCGCCGTTCTGTACCCGGTGCATCGTCGGTGCGTTATAATACGTTTCCTAATTAAAGTTTATCATGTTTCACCGATCTGAGGAGAGAAAGAGAGAGAGAGAGAGACTCCACCGTGATCCGGTCCACCGTGTCGACGACATAACGATCAACATGCAAATAATTAATAATCATTTGCATATCTCTAATATTATACCACGAATGCGATGCGCGCATCAGGTTTATCTTATAAGATATAACTTATGATTATCGTTGACAACTCTCGTCGCTGCTATCGAATCACGTGGAATGTGAGATCGATAATTACGCTAATCGCGAAGCATAATCATTGCCATGTACCTACATTTCTTGGTAAATAAGAAATAAATTAATAAATTTATATGTATATTCTCATTTTTAAGACATATAAATAATGAGACTTATAAATATAAATTCAATAAAATTGTTTTTTAGAATGTATTTTAATCGCACACTGAAAAGTTTTGTGCCGAGGTATCTTTTAGACGTATTTCTAGGAATATATCTCGCGCGAGCAAAACAGACCATCTTTCTTCGAGGAGTAGATGATATCGTGGCATCTACAATGCAAACTCTTCTGGACAATAGCACTCGAGTGCTCATCCATCTCGAACAGAAAGAAGAAGAGAGGACTCTGGGTGAAGAACTATGCGGTTTGTCGAGTGAAATCGGCACGGTGCCCGGGCACTTTGCGCTGCATCTCGAAATGCATCTCGCGTTCGTTGGCGACACAGTCGGGCTCTCGACACGCGAACGACGCGAGATTATTATGGTAATCGAGCAATATCGCTCATGGCTCCGTGTCCCACGCCTTTTTGCCGAGATCTCGATGTAAATCGGACGATGCAGTTCTGAACGCTCGGACGCGTATATTATTAAGCAGCTACAAATTAATGATATCTCTCTAGCGTGTGGGAAATTATATTTTATTACTTTACATGTTTTATTTTATTCATTAATCGGCCAAGTTTTTTATTCCAAGTCTAAATCGGTTTCATCATCTCGTTAACGTAAATATTTTTTAATTGTCTGTACGGAGAGAATTTTTTCTTGGAATTTACTTTGAAAATTGTGGTAATCGTGGGACAATATGGTATTGGAAAAGTTTTATAAGATTAAATACTCCGATTAAATATTTATCACAATAAGAAATATTAATATGTATACATGATATTTTATCGTGGTAAATATTAATCAGAAAAACTCTTGTAAAATTCTTTACCATGATTTTCCCGTGTATATTTATTTACTCCGAAATTCATCATTATTGACGAAATATTACGGCAAGCGGTCGGGTAATATCGGGAACGGGGTCGCGATATACGTATAGCTTGACGATAACGTCTTTCTCAGGCGACTCGCTCCTCGGGCGCATTTACGAACAACGCACACGTCTCCGCGCGTCCGTGAGTATCTCCACCTGCATTAATCAGGCAGCGTAACTATCGGCTCGATCTCTCACGGTCTATACCATCTGCCGGAGACAGCAGCCTTAACGTCTCTCTACGGACCTTTGATTTGGCTCGATTCTTTATCGCCCCCGCGCTACCGGCTTGACTCGGCCAGCCGGATTCTTCCCTTCTTCTTTCTGCCTTTTCTCCCGATGCTCCTTTTGTAACTGCCGACGTTTCCGCCTATTGTTGCGCATACAACGGCGCGCGAGAAATCGTCGATGCGGGGAACGATTCCTCCGGTTTCCCGCGGCCGTATCCTTCGAAATGCTATCGCACAAACGAGCATCGCGTTCGTGAATTCCATATCTTTGTGGAAGGATTTTTTTTTTTTTTTTTTTTTTTTTTACAATTTCGATCGATCGTCGGAAGAGTATATAATTTGACCCTTCTCCGAAACCTCTGTGTCTGTTCTATTCAATCGACATCTCTAATCAAACAGGCGTAATGGGCGTGAAGAAGGACTGCGTGTAGTGATATAATTCTCTGCGAGTGGCATAATTAACACGCGAAATAAATTACACGCTCCCCTTATTACCCGTTGGGGGCGTAATGGCATTTCGGCACTTGGAAGTCAGTATAAAGTTCCTGTTTGTCGTGAGTCTATCCTGTCTGCGCTTCGAGGCGTTAGTTTATGAAGTTGTTGCTATCCATTATCGCTTTCAGGAACGGCAGGATGTGTCTCGGGTGTGTCTCGACGAATGTATTAGCCGCGCGCTCGAGCTCGAGCGCACGAGTTGCATCGTGCAACAAAAGGGGTAAAGCGAGGTACCCTTTTATTACACCAAGCCCGTCTCGCTTAAGCCCGTGCGTAAAGTAATTTGCCTTAATGAATTTGCATCTTCTCCTTCTATCGCGCATTCTCCCGCGTCTCTCTCTCTCTCCCGCTTCTCCGGCTTGCATTTTTGATTCGCAATTAAGCGCCAGTTAACTCCGTCCGGGAAAAATCTCAATGAAAATGTTTTTCACGCTTCTCTCGGATTGCTGGCTACTCAACCAGCTCACCTTTCGCGAAGGAATACGCTTTTAATCC